TTCAAGGTCTTCCCATGTGGAAGTGCGTCCAACATTTCTCATCAAACTTGTGATGAGAATTGATGAAATTTTATTATTATTTTTTTAATTTACATGAGGCTGTTATTGGCTTCCTCCTTTGCAGACTCCTATGACTGTCCCAGTAAGACTGAAAGATGCTAGAGTGGGACTAAACCATTGAAAAAAATCAGATCTTTTGGCCAAGGCCAGGTGGATCACAGTGGATCCATTTTGGTATGAAATGCCTCATATCTGTGCACCTGAATATTTTAGCTAGGCTGAGGGCTGCTTTGGTGGCGAGACTCTCTCTGAAACCTGTGACTGTCACTTTCCCTTCCTGTCACCACCCGCTGCTCTCATTAAAACCAGGTGGTGGTTTGAGAAGCACTCATCTCCCCCTCTCATGAAGGTGCTGCCCTCCCGCAGGAGGTCCCAGCAGTGGCAAATCCATGGAGAATTAAACCAGCTTCCTCCCCAGGGACAAACCTATTTTTCACTTTCTGAACGTGTTACCTCTACTGAGCCAAAGCCTTGATCTTTCTTGTGCTCCCATTTGGTTTTTCAAAGCTAGAGAGAGCCGCTGGAGACAGAACTGCGAGGAGGTGATGATGGACAGCTTGGGTTTAAGGCTCTAGGGGTGGTACCTACCCCTGAACTGCCAAGTACCTGCCAGAGAAGTTGTCTCCTGCGGTGGGTTCCCTTGGGAAGGATGCACCTATCTCTAGGATACACCTAGAGACCAAGAGTCGCTGCTCTTGGGACCCTCGCTTCTTTCCTTGACGTTTTTGACCCTCCTGGCTAGAGGCAGGGAGAGACATTGTTGCTTGAAATTAACAAACCTTGAACTTCTAACCTCAAATGCCGGATGACTGAAGCCTGGACCAGCAAGTTAAATCCTTCCCTGGGAGAAAGCCTTGACCACTAAGCTAAACAGTCTTCTAGTAAAGCGATCTGCTTCTTTGGCTGTGTTTAAAGATTTGGAACAAATATTTATTTAAGGGGGGGTGAGAGAGAATGGGGAGAAAGACAATTCACCCAGGAAAAAAGCCTTTGTTAAAGTCCAGTTATGATCACAGATTATTTCCACGCCCTATTAAAAATGAACTTGGGGGGCGCTTCTGCAACCCTTAAGTGCCATTTTCCACAGGCTTCTCCTGCCATCCATTCCTCGGGTAGCTGGCTCACTCGTTTGGGGGGTTTTTTTGGGGTTGTGTTTGTTTTTTTTTTGCCTCACAACCATGGGCTGAAGGAGGTGGCACCTCCATCCCTCCGGGGAGAGTGTGTGTGTGGGGAGGGGGGGAGGCAAGATGGCGGCTCTCCCTCACCACAGACAAGGCCGCGCCAGGGGACAAAGTGGGTGCAGGAGGGGATGTCGCTGCCAGAATTTTCTCCTTTTGGAGAGTGTGAAGCCCTTGTGTGTGATGCCGGTTCGCCTGTGATGGCCTGCGGGAGGGCGTCCGAAGGGGGCCGGAGGCCCCCTTCGGACGCCCTCCCGCAGACCATCACAGGCCGCGGTGGGTGTGAGGGCGCCGCCACTGGCGGGGCGGGCCCAGCGGGGCGGCTTTGTGCGCGGCGCTAATCCGGGCGGCAGCTGCCATTGGCGGCCGCGTTGCCATGGCGACGGCCCCGCCGGCGGCCGCCTTTGTTGGGGCCCGGCGCGGCCCAGCCGGGGAAGGCCCGGAGATGGAGGGGGGCTGGAAGGGTTTTTGTGTGTGTGTGTAGGTTCGTCGCCACAATAGCTTGTCGCCGGGGGTTGCCACTCACAGCTGGTTGTGGTTGGGGGGGTTGGTGTAGGCCCACCTTGCTGCCTGCTGGTGGTGGGGGGCCGTGCTGTGGTACCTCAGCCGGTTTGTGTGAAAAAGGGGGTGTTTTGGGGAGCGCTGGGCCTCAGGGAGGCCTGTGAGGTGAGGCAGGCGGTTCCCCATCCCCTCTGCTAGCTCCAGAGTGGGGGAAGGTGGTGGAAAGAGGGATCTGGCGTGAGGCTGGATGCTGGAAATGGCCGCTGCCTGTGGATACAGGTGAGGTCCCTTTTCCAGCTCCACAGAGCAATGTAGTCTGCAGCCTGTCCCAATGGCCTTTCTGGGCTCCAGCACCCCCCTGGGGCCTCACTTTGTCTTACCTGTGCTGTCTGAGACCACCCAACTCACCAACTCAACAATCTCCTTGGAAAGGAGATGAGAAGATGCTCATGGATAGGTTTTGCTAGCAATAAAACCCACCAGTTGTAGCTATACACCAAGTTTGGGTTCTAGAGTTGAGAGGGGTGGGACTTAATTCACATATTATGTCTGTATACACATACTTATCTGTCTATCATAGAATGGTTTCAGGTTGGAAGGGACCTTAAAGACCATTCAGTCCCATCCCCTGCCCTGGGCAGGGACACCTTCCACCATAGAATCATAGAATGGTCCAGGCTAGAAGGGACCTCCAAAGGTCATCTAGTCTGACCTCCCCGCAGTCAGCAGGGACACCCCCAACTAGACCAGTTTGCCCAGGGCCTCATCGAGCCTCACCTTGAATATCTCCAGGGAAGGGGCCTCAACCACCTCCTTGGGCAACCTGTTCCAGTGCTCCACCACCCTCATAGTAAAGAACTTTTTCCTAATATCCAATCTAAATCTGCTCTTCTCCAACTTAAAGCCATTGCCCCTTGTCCTGTCGCTGCAGGCCTTTGTAAACAGACTCTCCCCAGCCTTCCTGTAGCCCCCCCTCAGGTACTGGAAGGCCGCTATTAGGTCTCTCCGGAGCCTCCTCTTCTCCAGGCTGAACAACAGGTTGCTCAAAGCCTCATCCAACCTGGCCTTGAACCCCTCCAGGGATGGAGATAGATCTGTCTGTCTATCTTAGATGAAACTCATGACAGGAAACACCTTTCAAATAGAGTATGTGATGTTGTAAATACGCTTTCACAAGATGTTTTGAGGTGCTGGGTAGACACCTGCTCTCAAAGTACCAGCAGAAATTCAGAAAAAGGCTCAGACGGAAAAGGCTGCATCTCTCCTCTTGGCGTAGGGAGCGCAGTTTGGGATGAAATGGTTACACTTCTCTTGGCTCCAAGTGTTTGAGCGCCACAGGAGTGCCACAGCCATTGCCCTGGCCGTTGCTGCGAGGTGGTTTTGTGTGTGGATGTGCGCTGGGCTCTGCCGCTTGCAGCTGCTCCCACTTTCCAGGCTCTGCAGAGAAGAGGTTGTTGCTGGGGCTGGTCAGACAGAGTAAGTGAGCAGCTGGGCTGTGCTCGTCCCCTCTGGGTTTTTGTTTCTTCTTCATCTCTCATCATGGTGGGTTTGTGGGCTCCGGCTCCCTGAGTTGAAGTCTTTGGGAGTGGGATTGCCAGAGTGCCGTTGATACAGCTTTCTCCCAGTGTTTACTGGGGAGGACAGCTGTGCGCCCAGCCTTTCTGTGAACTGGATGGAGGAACGGACTTAGCCTCTTGAAATATTTTTAAGCCACATCAGGTTTCCCCCCAGCATGTCGTAGTTGTGCTGGCACCGTGAGGGAAATGATGCAGGGGCAGGAGGGAGCAGTGATGGGGAATGGCAGCATGATGAGCTGCCATCAGCCCCCAGATCCTTGGCTGTGTGGGAAGCTGCTGAGGAATTGCTTCGGGTCGGTGTGAAGTCTTACATCCCCAATGGCTCTGACTGGATGCCTGGCATGTTTCTCAGGTGTTTGTTGACTTGGCCAAGAGAGCCTGAGCTGGGATGGGAAGAGGGCAGGAGGAGCGGGAGCCAGGTTGTCTGTTGTCACCTCTCGCTCTTGTGGGGTGGACGTGTTGGATAAGCCCAAGGACATCAAAGATGATCCCTGTCTGCTCATGAACATTAGCAAGGGCTCCTTCCATCCTTGTGGCACTGAGGTGGAGCCGGGTGCCCCATATTTTCCTGGGGGGCTGAGGCTTGGAGCCCTCTCCCTCCCTGACTGGGGCTGCAGGCTCTCCACAAGCAAAGCCTGGGGCTGCCTGCGCTGGGATACAGCCTCACCGGCAGGCTGTTCTGGAGAAGGCAGCAATTCAGATGCTTCCAGGGGCTGAGGCAAGGGAATAATCCTTCTATGGAGTTGGGGTGCAGGGAGCTTGCCACTTGGGGAGCGGCTGTCTCGCGTGGAAGAGGAGGAGGAGGGCCAGGGCAGCTGCTGGCCGGAGACTGCCGCCGCCTCCCCTGAGCACTTGCACGTCCAGTTTCATAATCGGATTAAGGCAGTGGTATTAGAGAGGAGGGATGGGTCAGTGGGACAGGTTTACACTGGGGCTTACACGGAGGGGATTGAAGTGTATTTTTTAACCCCGCTCGGCCTGACCTGCGGAGCGGTGCAGATGCGTCTCTGCGAGGCAACACCCAGCGGGAAGATGGGGGGGAAAAGTGGCACCAGGCAGTGATGTGCTCGCAGGGGAGGAGAGCAGCCCCAGGCCGGCTGGGGGATGGGATCCGGCCGCCCCTCCCCCCGGGAAGGCAGCCCTGCTCAGGCCTTGCAGTAAATTTGCTCTAATTACAGCCTCCAGCAGTGGGAAACCTCACTTAGAGGAAAGGCTCCTCTGGGGTGGGGGCGGGGGCGCTTCCCAGCTTTCCCAGGCAGGCTCTGTTGTCTGAGGCCTCCGCTTCCCCTGTCGCTGGGAGGCCCCTTATTCCTCTCCCCTCTCCAGCTTTGCTTCTCTCCCCCCCTTTAATTCTCCTCTCCTTTGAGGCTGGGATTTGGGAACAATGCCTTCCCTGCTCCTTGCCCCCCGGCTGGAGCCGCAGGCAAACAATCGGGGTCGCTTGCTGCCAGGGGCCGGGCCGAGGGGGCTCAGCTCAGCAGCACCTGCCCTGGGCTGGTGGGGGGACCGTGCTGGTTGTAGCAAGGGGATGTGCCTGGTGTGGTAGCTGTTGTGCACACCCTGTTTCCTCCTCGAGGACGGGAGGTCTTGTCTTGATCCCCTCCAGTTTGGGGAGGGGCAGCTCTGTGCAAATGTGTCAGAGAATGAACAGCAATAATCTGATCCAAAGCCCTTCTCTTTGCAGGTGGACGACGCGATGCTGATGTTCGACAAGACAACCAACCGACACCGAGGTGAGAGCAGCCTTTTGGCCATAGGAGAGGGAACTGCGGAGGGTTTGCCTCCTGCCTTGCGTAGGGAGGGGTTAGTATCCCAGCAGCAGGGCATGCGGGTCGCAGCTGCTCTTTATCTTGCCTCCAGTCACCCCATCCTTTTGCATCTGCATCCTTTACCAGCGTCCCTTGCAGCACAGAGGGCTTTTGTCCAGTGTGTTTCCTGTGCTGTAAACTCGCCGAGTTGCAGATATGTGAGAGGAGGCGGCCCCCTCCCCTGCCCGCTTACCTCCGTGGCTCCAGCCCGCAGTGTGTGTCTTACCTTGTCCCAAGTAATCTGAGCTCTGGGAAAGCTGACACGAGAGCCTGAAGAGTGCCTGCCTCTCGCCCCTTCCTCGGCCCGGAGCCCGCTTGTGCTCCCAGGTCACCTTTTCTTACCCGAGTCTTGCTGGTGGAGTCTGGTTACAGGATGGGAGCAAAGCTGTAATATTTGTGTTATCCAGACCCAGCCCGCCCATGGGCGTCCCTGCCTCCTGCTCTCCTGGCGAGTCTTCAGACACGGTGGCGTGGCAGGGCTCGACACCAGCTCAGAGATTTGTTGGCAACAATTTAAACCTGCAAACTTAGCTTTGGTGTCTTCAAATCAGGGCCACTAACAGCCCTGTGCTGGGCCACTCTCATGTCTGTGCGTTGTTTAAAGCGCTTCCAAGCACCTCTGCCCCCAGATCAGTGAGGGAACGCTCCCTTCTGCTCTCTCTACACTGTGTGCCCTTCAGGTTTTTTCTTTTTTTTTTTTTTTTTTTTTTTAAGAGCAAAAAGTCTGAACTGTTTCCCACACCACAAAACAGAAACAATTAAGTGCTTACAGTATTCAAAAACAATAACATTAGGACTTGCAGAATTATTGA